AGCGAAACGTTTGAGAATGTATCAAGTTCACTGTCAGATGCTGGAAATCATGACAACTACTATGGCAGACGACTTCGGACTAGATGAGTTCTACTAAGTCGCCCTGACATCAAGACCAAGTTGCGACAACGAGATCAACCCCCTTCTTTGTGAGTACCATTATTCTCAGATGCAGTTGATCAAATAAGAAGGCTCCATTCGTGCCAAGGAGGACTCAATGAATTCAAGCCTCTAGAAACCAGCCAAAAGGATGGTCGTTTCGACAAATTCCATCAAATATCTTCCTTATTTAGGCCTACCCGAAGGCAAGAGTGTGTCCATCGGAGCCATCCTGATGACGCAATCATGTTGCTAAAAAGAGGTAAAACCACATCTGTACCATGAGAGGAGACTGAGACCAAGATAAAGGCCACACGATCTGGGTTTTGTTTCGGCAGTTATATTGGCTCAGGTTCTTAATTAAGATATCTACTTCTCAAAATAAGAGCTCTTCTAACCATAAATTGATAGAGAACTGGTAACTGAATTTTTTCAACAACCAAATGAGTAGACCTGATGCTTAAATTGAATTTCGCTTAGTCTTGCCTGCCAGAAGGTATCTCATTAGAAGCGAACTTCATTTTCGACTTCGCATCATTGTCTTGTCATTACTCTAAGCGAGACTCGAACCCGAGACAGCGTATAAATAGGGCACATTACCATCAAGTTGCACTACCCCATTCGAGTCCCATTTGTGGTCGAAACTGCTGTGCAATTCAGCTTTAATGAGAATACCTTCTGGGTATCAAGACCAAGTGAAATTCAATGAAAATGTGAGACCTACTCATATCAATGTGAAAAAATTAAACATTTAATCCTATATAACCTATGCGGCCTAGGATAAATGGAATTCCTAGTCAAGATGTACTGATAATTTTGAAATCTACCCAAAATTAATGCTACCTAAAGTGCTTATAATTCAAGCCTACTCAGTATGTACCAAATTTGAAAGAAATTTCTTTAAAATACTTGTAAGAAATATTGTAGGCTATGCAAGATTAGTTGAGCGAAGTTGTCTGATTGGAAAGACCCAATGACTAGACCTAAAACGAATAGACGAGAAGGCTTGATTTAGTAGTCAAATCCCATGCTCCACGTGTCTCAAGAAGGCATTCTCCTCCAGGCTTTGTTATTACTTTAGCTCCCTCGACGAGACTCTAACCATTGACTATGATTCCATGCAGATTCACAGAGAGAGAAACAGCAGTGTATTCTGTCCTGCGCCTGAACTCCTAACTCACTATCTTAGCCGGCGGAGTATCAAAGTGCCCAAAAATGATTCCAGACAATCGAGCTATAGACAGCAGCTTTAGGCGCATATTTAGTGCACCGAAAGTGTCTTTAAGTTACTTTTGGGCAGACTTCCTCTGCCTTAAGGCCCCTAATGCTTTTCAAACAGAGGCCACTTGATTTTTCTTTCCACCACAAAAGTACAGCTGCAACAGTTCACAATTATCTACCTCTTTTAATCTGAATTTTACATATAATAAAAGGGTGGTTGTATCAGGTATGTGTGGCGCAGACTATGGCAGCGTAATAGACCCTTATTCAAAGAGAGGAGGACTTTAAATTCGTTCATTCGTTTTCTGATGCTGTTGCTTCTTCGGCTTAGAGCCTAAGGAAACTTTAGATCAAAGAAGTTATTTTCCGAAAATTTTCCTTATCCTAGATACTGAGTCGACCATCCCAGCGACCAAATTTAAGTATTCTCTTCGGAAGCTATGTATTCACAGCTTACTTATAAACCTTGCATACGCACCATACATGTACGACCAAATAGGAAACTAAACTTCAATATTGCAGAAGTTGTTTGACCTTGTTTTCGCAACTTGGTTACATTGGTAGGAAGACTTAGAGGAACGCACCTAGTCTGGAGTCCATTGTCTGCCTGATCATTTCCAAAGTCGGACCGTGGACGTTGTACTTTCTCAGACGTTTCGCCGGCATCGTATTCGGCATAGTCAGTGAGTCTCGCCATTCGTAGCACCATAGTACAGCTCGTCAAGGAGACAAGTCGACTATGCCGGCTACGATGCCGGCGAAACGTCTGGAAAAGAACCACTTCCACGTCTCGACTTTGGAAATGATCATGCAGACAATGGACTCCGGACTAGGTGCGTTCCTCTAAGTCTTCCTGCCAATAT